AAAAGCAATAAAGTTTTTTTCAGGATGAGGGTTTACAGCTTGTTTATTTTCATCTAAAAATATGGCATGCGGTTGCTTCAAACAATGATATAACATCATTCAATGTAAATTGTGATAATCGTAATTAATAATCGCAATTTCAAGGAAATAATCGACAATTATGATTTTTGTCATAATCGTGCAGCCCTAGTATGAGTGCATTGTGTATAGTGCGTCATTTGGGATGCAGCTCATGTTTTAAGGTTTGGTAAAATGGCTGCAAAATTCATAAAATACATATATTGACCTCCTGATGTTGATGAAATTTTTTTTCTGAAGGTGAAGTATCGCTGACTCTTTTTAAAAAAAAAAAGATCATAAAATTGCCTTTTTCAAGTCCTGTTTGTACACTCTTTGATGAAAGTGCCTACATATTGCTTTCTTTTTGCAATTACCTGTCATCTTCATTTTTAACAGTGTCCACTGAGAATTTATACTGGAATCCCGAACATCCGCCTCCCTCCACTGCTATCCTCAGATACTGTCCCTTTTCAATAATCTCAGCGAGCCTCTGGAGGAAAAAAAAAATACATATTTGTCAATGTCTTGGTTTATTCATTACTCCCAAAAATGTGATCACTGACTGAAGTATCTAAGATGAAGCGCATGCGAGTTCAAACCTTGACACAGGATTCACTGAGCTGGATGTTCTCAGCCGGACTGCCGGATGGGTTTTGATGCTCCTCTTTGGTAGAGGAGGCGCTGCTGTAGCGCGCGGAGGAGCTGAGAGCAGCTGAACATGTTCTCACGGTCTCAACTCTGGCCAACAGCAAACACACACGTGACAGTGAATGGCTGTACACACAATGCCCTTCATCGCAACAACGCATGCCCAAGGAGTTTTGATATGCACATCATAACAGGATTATATTACATACAAAATAACTATGAAACAGATTAAAAAGCTTTGACATGATATGTAACAGAACGGATAAGTTTGTAAGAAACTAGCTAGCTATGCTACGTGCATTAGCTATTATCTGAAGATAAAGCATCAAACAAAGTCGTATTATATAAGACAATACATCCTGAATGCACCACTGGCGTTTCGCTAATTCGTGCATACTTGAGAAAGTGAAATGACGCTGTTTTAGTGGCGCTTATGAGCAGTCTCCTGGCGAGCGACATCTTCGATAAACTCGGATAGTAGTTCAGCGCACGCGCAAGACGAGTTATTATCAAGAGTTAGCGAGAGAAAGGGTTGCCAGATTCCGTGGTTTAACCCTTTCATTTAAAAACAAATATTTCTGTTAATTTTTGAAAATAAAATTGTAGGTTAAAAAGAATAATAAAAATGTACTTGTGTACTTTTTAATGGTCAGTTAAAAACATTACTTTATTAGCTCAATTACTGGCTTTAATGCAGATAGTTAACCAAGATTTTTAATCAAGATTTTTCAGTTTTATGTCATGCATTTTAATTATTAATTAAATCTGTTACTAAGCAAGTTTAATGAGCAATAAAAAAAAATATTATTAAATAATAATAAGGTAAACTCTTATTTATATAGAACAAATAAGCTGATAACTGTAACATTAATTATGATTCAAGTTTCACATTTTGCCCAATCAAGCCTAACAGATGCCAGATTTTTGTAATGTGTCCAGAGACATAAACTGTTACATTTTAGATACAGTCAGGGTCATTATTCAGTTAGAGTGGCAGGTGAGAGGCAGAGTTTTTTATTCAGTCTATGGGTTATTTTCGTGATTATTTCTTAAAATGATAAAATAAAATGTTGTGCGGTTAATTGTACTGACAGACCGTCCAAGTCTGGAATTGGACTCCTAAAAAGGCTTCTCGTCTGTGCAGTGAACACTTTGAGCACCTCAGCGCCACCCACGTCCCGCCTCTTTGCCCATTTTCGATTATCCGGGAGTGACGCGCGGACCGGCTCCGCCCACTTTGGGCTTCAAAAAAGCTCTTCAGATTCAACGGGTGACGTCACGGACACTACGTCCATGTTTTTATACAGTCTATGGTTTACACAGCTTTGGGGGAGACAACTTTTTTCAACTGTCTTTTTTTAAACAATTTTATTAAATTGTACATAAAATCTGTATTCACACTAAACGTGTTATGTTGTTGCAGGATCTCTCCTGCAAACATGCAGAGTTTGTTACACATGAAATCTCTCAAACTCAATTAAATATCCTATTTTAAAACAAATTTTAAATTGTTTTACATTGTTTTCACCCTATATAATACAAATGTGCAAACATTTTATGCATACTATGTACAGACAAGCACTGTTTTAATGCATTAAGCCATGTAACGTTAAGCGTTTTCCTTATAATTTCTATGGGAGGAAAACTATGGGATATTAATTGTTTTCACCCTATATAATACAAATGTGCAAACATTTTATGACCTATTGGCATTTAAAATTTATTTCAACCGTTGAAAATGAGAAAGACACACACACACACACACACAATCAAGAGAGTAAGATCGTTTTACTTCTCTTTTCAATTCCTGAGCGAGTATAATAGCCTCAAAGAGGGGTTTTGATATATCTGGCAACAGAATGTCCTCCTTGTTTCACCGTTGAAAATGAGAAACACACACACACACACACACACACACACACACACACACAATCAAGAGAGTAAGATCGTTTTACTTCTCTTTTCAATCCCTGAGCGAGTATAATAGCCTTAAAGAGGGGTTTAGATATATCTGGCAACAGAATGTCCTCCTTGTTTCAGACCATTTCCATGAGTCATTGCTATTGGTTAAGAGTTGCCGAAACTGCGTTTACGTCATTCCGACGCCCATACAAACAGCGTTGGATTGGAGAACAGTCATTCTGATCTTGTGACAAGGAAGTAAGGTGTGGAAACAAGTGGCTGAAGGAAAGGCTGGTATGTAAGCAACTTTTAATTATATTAGTTGGTATTTTTAACTTTTTCATTGAGCCGAAAGCCCGTTCCTGTTTTGCTAATTCCTGTGTTCTGTATGTATTAAGTATTAACGTTCACATCTTCATTAGGAAGTGTACAGAAAGTACGCAGAGAGTCACTCTCATGTGATCGAGCGATGTCAAACTGTATGATGTTTGTACTCTGTTGGTTCTCTCTAGGATTCATTTGAACCATGGACTACCGTGTGCTCGGCGTTGTTTTGCTTTCTTTTCTCGCCTACACTAATGCTGAGCAGGTGAAATTTGTGGACTGTGGTAAGTACTTTGTTTATGAAGTTCATACTTTGTATTTTACTTTATTAAAGTCTTTTTAAATCTTCATTTTTCTTGTTTTTCCTTACAGGCTCAGTAGAAGGAAAAGTTACTGAGGTTGACATCCAGCCCTGCTCTCAACAGCCATGCCAGCTTCACAAGGGACAGTCCTATTCAGTCAATGTAACCTTCACCAGTAGTGAGTTGCTTTTCATGTCTAGTAACAGCTCAAATAAACCAGATCTAAATTTAGAAAATCAACAGCATGTTTGTATTTCCCCTAGGTGTTGAGAGTAAGACTAGTGCAGCTGTGGTTCACGGAGTGGTCGCTGGCATCCCCGTCCCCTTCCCTATTCCTCAATCAGATGGCTGCAAGTCTGGAATTCAGTGTCCTATTGAACCGCAAAAAACATATAGCTACGTCAACCAGTTACCCGTCAAGAACGAGTATCCAGCAGTAAGTGTAAACTTCCTCATCTACCTCTAGTTCTAAACAATGCTTTAATGTTGCATGCATTCACTTCCTCATTTTTGGTTTGTTTTTTAGATAAAACTGGTTGTGGAATGGGAATTAAGAGACGACTCCAGCAAAGATTTATTTTGCATCAAGTTCCCTGTTCAGATTGTGAACTGAAGGCCAACACTGAAGCCAAAAATGCTTACAAAGGGATACAATTAAGAACCGAGGCATCTGGATGTGTGCTTTTTCTATGGACCTTTTAGATCTAATAAGTAGATGCAGATTTTATGATTTATTCTAATACTTTTTTCTAACCATGACACATTTGTCATTTTAATGTATGGTCTTTAACTATGCACACAGTGCCACTCGACAGAAATGGCCTAATCTTCGTTTGTTTCCGTTATATTAATGATTCACCAGAACGAGACGCTGACAAACAACAGTGGTCATTGCCGGTGATTAACTCAAGTGTGCACTAGCTCCTGTGTGGCTAGACAGTGTTCTGATGTGTCTAATCAAAGTTTTTTTTTTTTTAATCAACTGGTTGTGAACTTTTTACTGAAATTTTTAATCTGCATATTTAATAAAGACTACATCTTAATATGAGCTTATTTTCTTAAAACATTGGCAAATGTGTCTGAATGAAATAAACTACTTTTTTATGGTAAACTGATTTTAGTTTTTCTTCTGTTTATGGATTCCTGCAGGGAATATATACATATACACACACAGACAGAGCTGTTCAAATGATTGGGATCAGTAAGATTTTAATGTTGTTGTTGTTTAAGTTTCTTATGCTCATCAAGGCTACATTTATTTGATCAAAGATACAGAAAAAAACTGTAATATTGTGAAATATTACTGCGATTTAAAATAACTTTTTTAATATACTGTAAAATTGTATTTATTCCTGTGATTCAAAGCTGAATTTTCAGCATTATTGCTCCAGTCTTCAGTGTTATATACTGATTATCAATGTTGGAAACGATTGTGCTGCTTAACAACTTTTTTTTTTTGTGGGTGGGGACCTGTGGTACTTTTTTTTCAGGATTCTTTGATGAATAAAAAAAGTTCAAAAGAACAGCATTTTTTCAAAATAGAAGTCTTTTCTAACAATATACACACACTACAGTTCAAAAGTTTGGGGTAATTTTTTTTCATTCTTTTTTTGAAAGAAATGAATACTTTGTGATAGTAAAGACGTGTATTGTTAGAAAATAAGCAAACTGTCCAATACTTCAGTTTCAGTTCTGTTTTCTCAGGCAGCAACTTTATTCTTTTTGAGAGGTCACCTGTCATGTGTTTGAGGGCTGGTGGTTACTAGGGCAGATGTGTTTCACTATGCAGCACATGCATTTATTATGATAAAGCAGAATTTGCGGTTGTTTTTCATGTTTACATATCGAACAGTAGCATTATTTTGGTTTATATAGTCATTGACTCTGCACAATTATTTTACTGTAAACTAGCTATAAGAACAAACCATTGTCTTTACATGAATTCTAAAGCTTGTGCAAAATATGACTTGGCTACAAAACTGAATCATCAAACCAAAGTAGCATTTGAATGTGTGCTTTTTATTACAATTAAACAAAAGCAAGCAACATTCCTTCAGGTACAGAAGTTATTTGTGCCATGTGCATCATTAAAACACTTTTTCGTCTTGGTTATCTAAGCAAACATTCTGTAAATTATTAGCAGGTTTGTCTGGGACAGATACAGAGAGTATTGGGTTTCACAGGAATTTGCTAAAACCAGACGACCAATTCTGTCCATTGCTCCCATTATCACAAAACAGCATACCATTATCACCTGCCAGCTGAAAACACACATCAATTTCACAAGCATGCTAAAGAGGTCAAAATAAACACCCAACATGAGGTAGAAACCCATCATACAACAACGTCCTGTATTAATGCATTTATTTAAATGAATCGCTTCCTTCTGCTCAAAACTGAACTTAAATGGAATGTAACTTAATAGCATATTTTTACACAGCCTTTTCAAACAAAGTCAGCAAATGGCTGCTTTATCTCACTTAGTGCAATACTCAGCATTTTGTTTGACCAGTAAATCAAGGGTTCTGCGTAACTTAAAATCTTTCAATAAAAATCATTATTTAAAACCATATTTAAAAAACACCAAAATTGGACAATATTACATGAGATGTTTGTTCTTTCCGATATAGGACTGTCTTTCTCTTTACAACAAAAAGTCGAACATGCTGCTGTTATGTAATGTAATTGTGGGGGAAAAGATTCGGCTCAACTCTTTTGCAAATATAAAGTATAAAGCTTCTGTTTCAGTGCTAAAATGCACCATCTTTGATATTTGAAACAGGTTTAAGAAAGTCACCATTTTCTTAAAAAAATGACTTTTTGGAGGTGTTAGTGGATATCACCACTATGTTTTTGGCTTTTCAATCCTTACTGCTAATTTTGACAGATTGAGAAAGAAAACAATGAAGCAATCGATGTGTTTTTACATTCACAAAGGGGTCTGATATTCAATTATCTGTAGCAAACTAAAGGAAGAGAAGATAATGTATCAGGATTTTCAAATAACAACTACAAACTGAATTCTGAACGAAAGAAAACGGAATTGTTAGAAATCTGAATGAAAGTAGTAAGGCATCTGATATGTTTTTAATGTTAATACTTTAAAGAGCCATGCTGTACTTTTAAAGGAAACATTTCCCGATAGTCCTCAAAACAGCACGTTGCTCTTTCTGAGGGTTATTTCATTTGCATAAATATGAATAAAAATGGAGTATTCATCTGGGCCCGCTGTGTCACAGCAATGATACCTCTCCAAATAACAGTAAACTACTTTAAAACATCACAGGCAAGTCAGAAGAAGATCTGTTAAAACATATCACAGGCTAAAAACTGAAAAAGGTACCACTGATGCTTTAAGCTGAGAGCGGCACTGAACTGTTAGCGAGCAGAGATATTATGAATGATACTGAAGCCCTCACTGTCCGGTTTGTTTGAGCCTCTCCAGTCTCTGTAGCAGAGCATTTCCAAATGCTTCTCTGTATCCGGGGCTGAGAGAATCCAGCAGTGAGTAAACAGTCTCATGATACTGGGAGCTCAACTCCTCATCCACCTGATCGAAGACGTGTCCCACCACCTAAAAAATAACAAGCAGAAACTTTAGAAACATATCACAGATTCCTCTGGTATTCCTCACTTAGAGGTCACACTTGTGATCCTCAGCGGTCAAAACAGACCAAAGAAATTAATGTTTTTATTAATATGTTATACGTCTCAATAATATTTAGTCTTTAACTTTAGGAGTATTTTTACTGTATTTTAAGGGGATTTCATTTTATTACACAATATTCACTTCTAGATTATGCACCATTTCCTTCTATATAAAATAATATGAATGTACAAAATATATTATTTACAACTGATACAGGGTTTAATTTTATAGACCAAAGTTAAAATCCAAAGCAAGGAAGACAGATTGGTGCCATCTAGTGGGAGAAAAATAAAATCCACAATGTAATCACTAGGTATCTCAATAGATACTTCCATAGATAATAGATAGTATTTTCAGACATAATTATTTAGTTTTATTAGGTTTTACATTTGGATATAATTAATATATATTTACACATTATCAAAAACTACTACAATTATGGGTGATTTGTAGACTGTACAGCCAAAAGTTGCTCTGTATTGTAGTATTTCCTATGGTGGTCATTTTTGACCATGAAGTGTAATGACTTTTTTAAAGACCTTTTATCCTTTTCTAATAATTTCCAGATTTTTTGTGTGTGTTTTCATTTAGCATGTATATATATATATATATATATATATATATATAT